AGTGATGATTGCTGGGAGGAAATTATGCAGGAAGCATTCCTTCATTAGCTCGCAATAGACTGTATTGCAAAAATGAAACATGCATTAGCATGAAATAAACTTACTTGGCTAGAATGAGTGAATTGATGGGTAATTTGATTGTAGGCCATACCTCATCTAGTTCGATGGAAGGTGGTACTTTATCCATCAATATACCCTCCAGCCATACATAAATCCTATCATCATCCTTTACAACCTTTCCTTCCACATCCAATTCGATCTCTGGGCCTAGTACATAGCGAAGTTCATCACTGTGCTGCTGCATCCCAACAATGGTAGCTGCCTTCTTGATGGGGAGGGTGCCCATACACTCATTTTTAATAAATTGGATGAAGCAGCTAAATTGAGCTTCATTTAAAGCCAGGCTCATTCCTCCACTACCAAAACTGTTGTTCAGTTGTTGCATGAATTTGTACTTATATGCAGCACTCTCCATGCTGAAAAAACATCGTCTGAAATATACTATAATGAAGTTCGCAGTTACAAGGAATGCAACCTACCTCTCTAATCCATCAATTGCTCTCTTAACCAGAGACATATAGCCTGTTCTGCTCCCAGCTTCAATAAATCAGTAGTGCTGTAAGCCTAATGGCAAAGTCACCCTTGCACTCCTGACGCTTCGCGAGTTTAATCGACGGCTTATCCCAGTCTATATCAAAAGGTTTGGCAGGGTTCTACAAATGTAAAATAAAAGTACTGTAGATATATCTGATTTAAGGCGGCATACTGCAGAGTTCGGCGTGGAGTTAGGAGAATCACAGTACGCATTAGGTCTTCTACGCGGTGTTGTATCCACCGTATGATCAGACAGGGACATCACTAAATCTATCAGATCAGCTTTGAACTGTGAGGAGCAATGGCGATCAAGAAAGAAACCAGAGCACTGAGTGCAGAGCAGAACTGCAGCAAAGCGAAGCGTGGACAGTATTATATGCAAAATTATTGCAAGTTATTAAAAGTTATTGTTAATTAAAAGTTATTGTTAATTAAAAGTTATTGTTAATTAAAAGTTATTGTTAATTAATACACGTATTACAATGAAATGTACACAAACATTAATAGCACATCAGTCAGTAATAATAAGTCTAGAATTCAGTTCTGAGCCAAGAATCTGGCAAGACCACCAAGAACCTAAAACATACTCAATTCACATAGTGTACAAATAAATACATCTTACATGCTGTTACAGTTGTGCCCATTCCGAGACCTTTAATGTCATGACATATGCATGGAGAATCTGGATGGGTGACAAGAGAAGCAGTGGGAGAAATAGAAATACATGGCATCAGAGCATTGGCAGTTCAGCCAACACAATACAGCGGGCACAGCCAAAAAGACTTCCTAACAAGAGAGAGAAAGAAATGTGATGAAAGAGGTAGCGAAATACACTTACTGATGATTTTATTTCATCAATCAGTGAGCTGTATGTGCCTGGTATAAGTTAACTACCTCTAGATGAAAGGCTAACACAATATAGAGATGAATGAATAAAATACAAGGTAAGAAAAACAGCTGCACAATTTCCTGAAGGTACAGTAGCAAAATCTTCTATAAAAACAAAATAACAAAATAAGGCTGATTTTGAAAAAAATCTGAATTAAGCCATGACATCATTCATTCACACTCACAATTACATTGTATTTGAGTGTATGATACATTATAGGACACAATTAATAACTTACAATCTAATCAAGTGCACATTTTGTTATTATAGTAATGTACAACATGGGGGGGGGTCGTCAGAGGTAGCCTTTATACCTGCTGGTCATCAGAGGTAACCTTCTGATATGTACCTGTCAAAAGAGAATCTCTTGACGAATACACATGTACAAAAATGCTCAGAAAAAAATATGGCAACCTTTATCGCATAAGTTCCCCTTTCAGTGCCCAATATTTACATGAATTAGCTACTATACCTTTCAAAGAGTCTTCATCACCTTGAGGTTTATCAACATAACCAGTTTGAGATGGATCATAACTGGCACGCCATTCTACAAGCATACATGTATATTTGTAATTGTGTTATTATCAAATACATGTAAATGGTTTACAATAGGAAACAACATGCTAAGCATTCACATTCCCAATCTAATCAAGTGCACCTTGTGTCGTTACAGCTATATACATTTACAACAATATGATATGGATGGGAGGGGGGTTGGCCTCTGAGATTGCTCTCGGAGCCATTTTCACAAAATTTGGCCTGAGACAAGGCAATAGCCTTTGGCAGTACTTACCATATCTGTTGATCTGTTCACCAACAGTGTCATAAACTGATGCTTCAGGATCAGACACTAGCTTTACTATGGGACTAGGCATACACATGATGACAATCTAATCAAGTGCACATTGTGTTGTTACAGCTTCACTTACAACAATATGATGGTATGGGTCGCCAAAGGTCAGTCAGGTCACTGGTGGTCACATGGTCACCTTTAATCGGAGAAGTTTCCATATGTACTAGAGAAACACAAGAGACTTAACCATTTTTGTGTCAGTGATAATTACCCTCAAATCACATAGTGACTTGTGCCTGACATAAGTCAACTGGAGTGTGAGAAAGTATTCCATCATCATAAGACAAAGATAAGGCTACATGTATGACAAAAATAAGGAGAATACACATGTACACAGCCATGGTTGATCATGCCTGATATCAGGCATGGACCATTAAGTTTGGGCAATCAGTCCTGATACAATCATGGAGTTAGCCACAGTACAGGCATGGTAAGCATCTATACTGGATCAAGTTAGACTGACTTTCATGATTCAGCAATGATA